TATATATATATATATATATATATATATATATATATATATATATATATATATATATGTAAACACAAAACTTTTTTTGCTCACTGTCAAAAATGAAATGACGCTCAGACCAAGGGTCTGTTAGGATTAACACATTTATTTTCATTTTCTAAATGCCGTAGTAATTGGATCCTTCTTTAGATCTTATTATTTTATTGAAGGTGTACTTTCATGCATGTAAATATGTGGTATCCCTGCCTTTGGCCACTTTCTCCTGAATGAACTGGTGTAACTGAGCCAAGTTGGCTGCAGCCTTGCTCACACACCCCCTCCTTTTTTTTAGCTCTACCTTTAAACAAATCTCCAAAACATTGACTTTTTCATCACAGTCACTCTGTAACCAGTTTCTCTGTCAGCTTTGGGACATTGTCCATTTGGAAGATCTGTTTACACCCAAACAACTTGAGATGTTGCTTCAGAATTTCCACCTGAGGTCCTCTATTTTGTGAAGTGCAGCAAACCAACCCCACTCCATGATGGTCCCATCCCTGTGTTTCACAGTTAGGATGATGTTCCCCTTTTTTACTCCAAATATAACTAGCAAATAACTCTTAGAGCACAGACCTTTGCAAGCAGCAAATTGTGACTTGCATCTCAAACTAATCTGGATCATTACCAAATTTAGCTGAATTTTTCCTTAGCATGAGACAAAACCTCTGGTTAAAAAATGTCCATAAAATCCATTCATGAATTTTTCAACTGATCCTGTTAACAAACCAACATAGTTTTGCTTTTTTTCTTGGGTTTGTATGCACATTTCAGACCAAAGGATGTTCATCTCGGGGACACAAAAACCTGTCTCCTTTCTGAGTGGAATGATGGCTGGACAGTCCCATGGTGTATAGTTGGTAAAATTGTTAGAATGTTGCCCCTTCTGGCAATTTGAAGTTGCACCCCAGTGATGAACCAGGCTTTTTTCCTTATATAGTTGCAGGTGTCTTTTAAATTTTTCACTATGTTGCACGGAGGCAGAGGGTTTGTCAATCAGACGCTTCCAGAGATGTGACATCATCTGAGCGTACACAAATAGTTTAAAGGCATAGTGACCTCAGTCTATGTAAACTTCTGAATATGAAGAAATAAGATATGCTCTTATTCTGACATTTAGGTTATGAAAATAATTTAAGTCATTCTAAAACCCAAAATGTTGTCTAAAGTGCTTTTTAAAGAAAGAATTTGCACATAATTAAACAAAAAAACCGCAAACATTTGTAAACATAATAGAATTTATTTTATAAATTTTATATCTGCCATTCTTCAGAGCATTTTTACATAATAGATTTATACGCAGTCCGACATTTACAAACTATATACACCTTGAATTTTCTCCATAGGGAAAAAAACAGACAAGTATACTGTTGCTTCTTCAAGTATATTTATCCCTGTGAACCTTTTCTGTCTTTGTTTGTGACACAAGAACATGATCTGCTAAAAATCATTTGCATATAGTAATAAAATGATCTTTTGCCTCAGAAATTAAACAAAAATGTCCCTGTTGTGATATCAAAATACAAAAACATTAGTGAGATTTTTTTTTTCTAAGTGGCCAAATGTGGTACTAACATCAGGAGGTTTGTGTGGTCATCACCTCCTTGTATATACAGATGTTTTACATGGTCCCAGTGGAAAAAAAGAAAATTTACATTAAATATAAGTTATTCATCAGGACAAATAAGCAACAGTATAAGTTTCAGTCTACATCCGCTTTAGTGATGTGATCTGGACTCCGCTCACAGATCGGTACATTCAGGTTCACTTCAGAGAGCTGGAGTGTCGCTGCTCTAAGTGCTGCATTGAGCCTCATAGATGCTGCTCTCTGAGACGGTAGAAATGTTCACAGTGCAGGCTTAGATAAAGGATGGTTCATTCCCATCTACTGCTCAGGTTTATACCCATGTTAGAGTAATATCAGCGCGCCAACATGGGCGGATGAGACGCCATGTTTAGTGTTTCTGTTAACTAACATCTCTGGTTATCTTAAACATTTAGATGCTGGATCTGTGGGGTATTTTACTTTTTCCAGCTGAATCCATTTGGCTAAAATATATTAAAAGCAGAAATGAAAACATAACTGTAACAGAAAAAAAAAAAACATGATTGTCGAAACCATAACTACACATTATTTTACTCTGATTGGTATAATCATCAGAGCGGCTCTATGTTGTGTGCTAAACGGACAGGAGGGGGCGCTGTAGCCGTATGCACAGTCAGCGCTGGTGCAGTGGGTGTAGTTCGGTCCATGATTTAGCTGCAGCCTGTCAGCACGTGCCGCTGTTGGAGGGGGAGGAGCTAAGTGCTGCTGCTGCTCTCTGGGCCAACGCTGAGCAGAGGCAGAGCTTCCAGCTTCCTGTCTGATCCCACCATGCTGTGAAAACATCTACTGCCTCGCTATGTGCCCCCCCACCTTGCTTCAGCGCTCTGAGCCCAAGCAGCCTGAAACCAGGAGAGGTGAACTCCTTCCTGCTGCGGTTCTGCAGCAGCTCGTCCCGCTCTCTTCCTCTCTCTCTGCAGCCTGGACATTTTCCCATCTTTACTTCGTCCACGCCGCTCAGGCCAGCTTCAGAGTGCTTATGGGGAAGGAGGGCATCGTCACCATGGTGACGGGGTTCAGCACAGTCTGACCCATCAGCTGCGGGTGGTGTGCCATCATCTGGGTGCTTACTGCCGTCTGCTTACTAACGATGGTGGTGGCAGTCACCTGGGTGGGGGAGGTGCCGCTGATGTGAGCGTGGGTGATGTGGCCCACCACGGTGGGCTGCGTGACCGCCACCGTCTGCGGGTAGAAGGCGGGGATGTGTTGGCCAAGGTGAGCTACTGGGTGTACGGTGATGTGACCGATGGGCTGGGGACTGGGGGCTAACTGCACCGAGCTGGTGGTGGTGCAGGGAGCAAGGTGGGTCACCTGTTTGGGACACCCCCCATGGAGGACATGGTTTACTGCCTGAATAACTGAGGGGTGGGACACTGAGGCGTGGGCGATGACCGTAGTCTGGGCAGGGATGGATGGTGGACTGGGAGCACTGGACGTAGGAGCTGGGAGTATGGGTGGAGCTACAGGCTTGGTATGCGGCTGTGGAGGATTCACTGGTAGCGGCTGATGTGGGGGGGCTCTGTTCAGGGGCGAGATGTGCTGGGTGATGATGGAAGCGCTGGTGGCTGGCGTCACAATCTTCAGCAGCTCAGGTTTCATGCTGTGGGGTGCAGCTGGTACGGCGGGCAACGCTCTCGTTGCACCTGCTTCCTCCAGGTCGTCCATAATGTCCTCCCCCTCTGCAACACCAAACACTCATTATTAAAGGCAGCTTTTCCTTAAATTCCGCCAAACTGCCCCACAGGTCCAGGTGAGCCTACCTGAAGCAGTGGAGGTTGAAGCCTGGTCCTCCTCTGGCTGCACCGTCTGCCTGAGGACCCGGTCGATCTCCACCACATCCATCCACTGGCTCAGGTCGTTCTTCAGCTCTGCCAGGCGCTGCTGGGTGGCGATCTTCTCTCTGGCCAGCCGCTCCATGTCGTGCTCGTACTCTTTCTCTTTGCGTTTCAACGTCTGGAAACAAGGAGAGTCTGCTTATGTGCAGGGCTCAGGTTGATGAAGGCTGCTGGTTTTGGAAACGATTGTAAAAAAAGACTAAAAGTTAATAAACTCCACATCTGGTTTGATGTGAAAACCCAGCTCTGCCTCTATATTCTAATATCCACTACGTTTGTGCCTAGTTTGAGATTCAGCTGCTTATTGCCTCCTCTAACCGGCTCTGTGATCCATCGAAAGCTTCACAGATTTTACAGCTGATCATTTCAAATCATTAGTGGGCCTGAAATCATTAAAACAAACTTGTGTGCAGGAGATAAAATGACAGAGCTGCAGCATGAGGGAGGGAGGAGACGAGTATGGAAGGTAGGAGGCCCTATGTGGCAGTAACGCTCTGACCCAATTTGCCTTTACCAGCTGACTGAGCTGGACTTCCCTGTATGAGGCACGGAGAGTACAACTCATAAAAATCAGACCAAACATTGAGGGGAAATTCAGGAAAACCTAAAAACATCAAGGAAATCACTTTTTCCAAAGCGGTTAAATGACCTTTAAGTAAAAACCTGGAGTTGATATTTATCAGGCTTCTGGTGAAGGGAGCAGAGGCTACGGGAAGTGACACACTGAAACCTGATGACTCAGGCCCATAAAGCCAATTTCTCCAGCGGTGGACTTCCTGTTCGTGCCGACGGAAGCATGCAGGCCGCCTCTGTGCACAGATCCCAGCGGGGCACGCTTCACATGTACGCAAATAGCAAAGGGGGACAAAAGGCGGGCCTAGTGTGGGGCGGCACCTGTCTCTCTCTCTAGTCCTTATCCAGGATTAGAACTGAGCGGGCCAAACGCTCAGCGCCTTTGCTGCTCTATAATGAGGGTGTCGCTGACAGAGTTTCTGATCTAGTTTTTAAGTTCTCTGTAGATTTAATTTAAATCGACTTTGAATAAAATCAGATGTTAATGGAACCAGGAAGGACTGGGAAAATCATTAAGATTCTCACAATAAACTGGAAAAATTATCTTCAAATAAGTAAAAATTTCTTAAATTAAATGTATATATCCTTAATTTGAGTAGGCGAATGAGATGATTTGCCAATGGAGTGGGTATTTTTACTCTTAAAATAAGATAATTAGATAATATGCACTTGGAAAAAGACAATGCAATTATGTTTTCTTATTTTAAATGTAAATTGTCTCGTTCCATTGGCAAAATTTATCCTTTTTCTCCTCAATCCAAGAACAAATGCACTTATTTTAAGAAAAAAAGACTTATCTAGATTTGGATTTTAAATATTTTACATTGTGCAACTACTTTAATAATCAGATAAAAATAATAATAAATATCTGATATTTTAAAGAAATAATGTAAATTATTATGGAAAAAGATTTATCCAAACAGCTTTTCCCTCATTAAGAAGAACCCTCCTTCCTTGTTAAAGCAAGAAATTAGTTGGTTTAACCACATTCTATGTTTAATTTCACAAATAAAATGAATTTGCTGTGAAACATTTAGGTCTGCTGCAGACTCATGAGTTCAGACATAAGCATTTCTACCTCTGGAGTATCAGAGAAAAGATTAATAAAAGGGGAAAAAAAAAAAACTTGCTCTTGGCAGAAACAAAAAAGCTCCACCAGCTAGTAGAAGAACTTCAAAGCTTTACAGCTGGATTGATCAACATCATTTAATGCAGCAGAATGTCAGCAAGAACGGGAGGAAAATAAACTCATTTATATCAGATATAGCTCTGAAGACTGGGACCTTCCGCTTCATCCCACAAAGGACCATTTCCTTTATTGGACTTTCAATACCCGGTGCTTCAACACGTCTTTATAAAATGATCACCTTTTAACACTCCGAGATATTCAAATCAAATATCTTTAAACATTCAGATATTGAGACATGTAAATGTGATGAGAATAAGCTCAGCACAGCACTGTGCAAAGGGTCAGCAGAACATCAGCGTCTGACTGACTGACAGCATGATTTCTGTATCATGGAGTCAGAGACGTCTGCGCACAGAAGGGACCTCTCGGAGAACCAGCAGATTCGTGTTGACGTCACTGGAATGCCTCCATCTTTGTTTTTTCAGGGAAACAACCAAAACCTTCCCAAGGTTTCCCCTCCAACCTTGGACGCTTATGAGGGCGTCTCTGATGTCGCCCGAAGATCTAAATCGGTACTTTTAAACTTCAGTTTTGCAGAAAAAGAAAAAATAAAGAAATAAAACACCTGGAACGCTTTGCTTTTTCGCAAAGCAGCCATGATAGAGGATGGTGTGACTCATGAAGAGAGAATGGGACAGAGCTCCAGAAGCAAACCTGTTGGTGGAGGCAGCAATGTTCTAGCATCTCCATAATAACAGTGATCCTGAGATTAAGCAGGTGAACCTGGCTAAGTCTGCAGCCGATGGATCAAACACGCCTTTTTCAGCATGTTAATCATGTCAGCAGGTTGGTAGGACACAAGGTGCCAAGAACATTTTCATTCTTTGCACATGGGTGCACTCCTCCTCCCACAGACAGAGCCTCACCTGAGCTCTACGTGCGGACGTCTAGATCAGCACACAGATAGGCTAAACTGTGTGTGTTTGAGTGTGTGTACGTGCAAGGTAAACACCAGCAAAGCTTCGTCACAAGCAATGCGAGTGCCGAGCACATGGCCACAGAGACAGAGGGAGGGAGTTGAAAGGGAGCAACACAAGCTGTACTCACTGACTCACTGCTGCAGCACGGCTGGTTCCTCTTAAAGGGCCAGCAGCACCAAACGCCACGTTGCAGACATGCTGCTTGGCCTGGCCCACTGGCCCAGCTTCTGCAGAGGTCTTGTGACGCCCTGGTTACCATAAAGCATTGTTTTCCTGGGCCCTCTAGCAGAAAACAGGAACTTCACGTGGTTCCTGCCCCTCACAATTAAAGGCTTGTCTGAGGGGGAGAAATATCGACTTTCTAAATGATTTCTTTGTGTACAAACATTTACCACCTCATAACTGGCCCACTTAGAGCAAACTTATCTGAGGTCCAGGTGTTAAATAACTGTGGTTGCATGTTTGTTCTCATGCCGCCAAATAATTTGGTTTCAGTTTTACTTTAAGAGTTCTTTAATTTGGTTTGTTGGATTTCAATATTTACTTTTGTCCTGCTTATCAAATAGATATTTTTCTATTTTGTGCCTTAAATCAATTTTAATCAACTATATAATTATCACACCACATGTGTCATTAAAAATATATTTTTTTTCTTATTTATTCACTGAAAACAATTTAAGCTTCATTACATTAACTGTTTGATTGTTCTTAAAAACAGAAGCTTCCTAAAGGAGAACATAAAAAAATAAAAATAAAAAAAATGATGAATCGTGGGACATTATTACAAAAGAAAAAAATCAAGTGAAACATTCAGGAGTTTACTGGCATTCAGAGGCAGGCAGTGGAGGAACAAGTTGGTTCAGGAAGGAGAGAGAAGCTCCAGCAGAGTAAGCTGAGCTTTGTGTTTACCACTCCACGCTCCCTCCCTGCTGCTGGCAGCTAAGCCCCGTGTTCCAGCGAGTCCCGTCTGTAGCTGCACTGGGCGGAGGGAGGGGGGGGGTTGGTGACGTCTCGCTGCCTCGGGTAGCCATGTGCTTGCTGCTCATGTGGACTTAAAAGCTCAGAGGGGCCGGGTAGAGGAAGGGAGGGGGAGCCAAGAGGAGGAGCTCTAATGAGTCGGCTTACATTCCAGTCTCACCGATTTGTTCTTTTATTTCTATTTTATGAAGCAACTCACTGACTCTTTAGAGCGCCGTCATATTCAAACGAAGAACAAACTGGCATCTATGCATGAAAGAAGACAAAGAGTCGGTTTTCATCTTAGTTGAGTCACAAGGATAAGATGCCATGAGGAAGTCAGGATGTTGAAAGAGTTGGTAACTATCCAGTCTGGCTGGTTTGTTGTGACATAAACACTCTGGGTACACTGCATTTGAAATGAGACTAAAGCCTCTTACACATGGCTTTTTTTTTTCTTTTTTTCCCCTGAGCTGTGTTTTAGTGAAGCTGCTCCACCTCCTGCTGTCGGCCCAGGATGGTAGGAACAGGGGCGGGGTGAGGTGGACACGTGTACCCACGCCTCTGCTTTATCTTGTTTTCCTTTTAAACCAAAGTCAGTGTGTGTGTGTGTGTGTGTGTGCGTCACTCCACCACCCGCCCTGCCACTGGACAAAAAAAAATCCTCTTGTGGGGAAAAAGCAATGCAAGAGTTCAAATACGGCTAGATTTCTGTGTGACCTACAATATAAGAAGTAGGTTCTGCACAACTACATAATGGAGGAAGCAGTAATAGGAGTTTTCTTTTCCTCTTTGTGCCTTAAAGGGGGGGTTCTGTCAACCAAGTCATTATGAGAAGCAGAAGCTGGAGATGTCAGTGTGCCAGTTTATCAAGACGGACACAGCGGGATGCTAAATGACAGAGGGAGGCGGAGTGATGAGCGGTGAACCCACGCTGTCCCACTTTCCCCCTGAGAGGATGAACCAGACTGCTGCTTCTCCAGATCATAGCGGAGCCAAAACAACCGCCTTCAAAAATCATAAATCTGCTCCCCTGAAAAAATGAGGAGCCCAGATAAACCCCTCACTGGTCGATGTGAGAGTTACCAAATTAATGTTTAAAAACCAGCAAATGAATCAGCTTCCTAATTACTGCTGCTGCCTTCATATCAGTTTTTTAGAGATCCATGGAGACGGAGCTCCTAGTCCTGTGAGACAACGCTCTAGAGTAAGGAAGTTTTCACTGAGAGAAGAAGACTCAAAGTTGGCTATTGAAGCGATTTCAATAAAATGACACAAATGTAAGACAGTTTAAAAGTAGCTGTATTTTCTTTAAAGGGCTGCAGTTCATTATTCAACCCAGCATAGTAGATCTAAAGTATGGATTTACATTCTCAAAAATAAACACTGTTAGTAGCTATCACACGTACTCGGCTAATCACTTATAGAAAACATTAAACACTTTATAATGACCTAATGAGTCGTTTTTATCTTTTCCCCTTAAAAAATATTCAAACCAAAAGACTACACACAGACATTTCAATGCTAACCAAATATTTCTCCTGTTAGATTTCCTAAGAATAAATCAAACCGGTGTTGATAGAACCAAGCTGAATCCCAACCAGATTAGAATTCTGTTCTGGCATCACTTCAGATTCTGCATTTAATGATCGTTTGAAAGGAAGAAATGCAACATCTGTATGTTTTTAAAAACCTGATCCTCACCTTATTAAACTGGGCCAGCTGTGGACCTTTGCACCAGCAGTTTCTAACCAGAACGCCCACACTAAGTCACACATGGTGAGCTGAGCGAACAATTATCATGGTACTAAATTAAACTGAACACCTACCAAGTCAAATCCAAGGGATGTTTAAATCGAGCTTTAAATACAGATTTAAAAGCTTTGTGCAGAGGATTTTCCACTTGTTTACTTGTACTCCTATTGTGCCGTATTTGATCCAATCACACTTTCACAGTCGAGAAGCAGGTTTCCTGTCCTGCCACTCCCTCCTCTGAATGACGCTGTCTTCAGAATGGAAACTACACTGAGGACGGACAAACCCGCTCTAAAGAAATCTCAGTAAGATCCACTGGCGGCAGAACAAAGCGCTCACCTGAATGTATCTCAGCGCGCTTCTCAACACGCTGAGGTTGGAGGTTTTCTTCTCGTCGATGTTGGGGATGTTCTTCTTCAGCGTTTCAAAGCACTCCTTCAGGTGTGCTCGTCTGAAGGACACAATGCAAACAGCGGCTGATTAAAACTTTGAATGAGGTTTGATACCTTCAAATTTCAGGTAGAGAACTGGGAAACCTCACCTGTTTTTCTCCAGCTTGTTATGCACTTCTCTTGTTCCAGCCCTACAAGAAAAGCAAAAACCCTCAGGTCCAATCAAATACTGTTCAGTCATTATATTTGATCATATTCACTATAAAAGTGAATTAGAGTTCTAGCATAAGGTTTACGCTGGAAAAAAAGTCATTTTTTTATTAAAATAAGTGAATTTGTTGAATTGAGGAGGTAAAAGAGACATTTTGCCAATGGAACAAGACAATTTATACTTAAAATAAGAAAACATTTTATCTAATTGTCTTATTTTAAGAGTAAAAATACCCATTCCATTGGCAACTATCTCATTTACCAACTCAAATTAAGGGTAAATACTCTTAAATGAAGACATTTTTACTAATTTCTAGATCGTTTTTCCAGTGTAGATTGAGGTGCAGACGTACCCTCCTGGCCTCTTCTTGCTGTCCAGCTGACGGCTGTCGTCAGGAGGACTCGTCCGGCCCATGGAGCCGTTCTGAGGGGGGGTGGGCTGAAGCAGAGGGCTGGGGTGGGGGAGTAAAGCTTGGTGCTGAGGGGCTGAGATGATTGAACCTGCATAGCACTGAACCACCTGCTGCAGCGTGTGCTGCTGCACTTTGGTGTTGCTTTGGTCGGGGAGCTGAGGGGGGCTAAGGTGGTTCTGGATGGGCTGCCTGGGGTTGACCGTCACTGTGGGGGTCGGGTGGTCAGCTTTGGGAGGTGGGGAGCACCTGGTTACAGCAGAGCTCTGCTCCTGAGGGTCTCTCTTAAGGAAGGCCAGGGACTGAGCGGCTGGAGGGGAGCGGGTGGTGACAGCTAGAGCCGGCGACCCTGCGGGGTTGGGGGTGACGACCGGCATGGGGAAGACGGTGACGGGTGTGGAAGGGTGGGGCAGGGATGGCGGTATGGGTGGCGGGGGGCACGGCGTGTGATGTTCCTTAGCTTTGGGGACATTGCTAATACAGACTGTGGAGTTATAGTTCACATCAGGGTAGATATGCTCCGTCTTCTGCTGCAGAAGCAGCTTCTCCTTCAGTTCATCCTCTGCGGAACAGAAAAGGAGCCGCTTAGCGAATCTAACAGCCCCCTCATTACCATGGAGCAGGTAATTCAACTTCACCATGTTTCACCTTAAATAGACCTTTAGTACACTTTTGCTTAATTTTTTCTTTAAAGTAGCTTTTAAATTTGACCCTTTAGGCCTAAAACATCGTTTGATGAGCAGTCTGACACATCAGTAGTTCAGCAGTGATGCATCTATAAGCCTGTATCCTATTTTCCTGAATGTATTTCCGGTCAGAAGTTCCTATGCTGAAAAACAAATTGATCCCAGCGCTTCCCTGACGGATGAAAGCAATCAGAATTCAATTTGCAATGACCAATAAGAGGTCAAAGGTAAAAATTAATGATCTGGTCCTTGAATTATCGTTTTTATGGCTGATGCTGATTATTTTGGCATCAAAACATCCCATCGCCGATACATGCTGCCGATATTTTTGGGCTGATTCTTGAAGCTGATATTGCTTTTTCTTCTTCCATTTACGTGATACAATTGACACGGTGATAGATAACAAACGTGACACAAGGTGCATGTTTATTAACACAAAAAGAGTTTTAAAAACAGAGGGTTGCTCATCATTTTTATTTCAGAACATATATCTACTTTATTTCTTCTGTAACTTTTGAATATGACTGATATAATTCAGAAAGAATTGGGCAGATTTAAATGTCTGTGGTAAACCACTGATTGATCCTCCCTCACCTGTTGAACCGTTTACCTGCCATGCCTCAATAATTGTCCTCAAAGTAGGAAAAATACTAAAAGAACAGGATGTTCTGCAAACCACACAGGCCCACTTCTGTAAGATGTGGTACCTGGCATTATCGTAGTCAGAACATACATGGCAAAAACCACAAAACAAGTGAGACACTTAAAATAAAAAAAACAGAGTTTTCTATAGGCATTATATAACTGCAGCACATAGAGACACTGGCCTACTTTCCTACACACACAGTGACCTGCTCTACAGCAGCAGAGAGGAGGAGGAGGAGTCCGCACCCCCAGTGCAGCAAAGCAGGAGGAGTTGAGAGGAGAGAATCACGAGGTCTCACTCTGATCCTTTTCCTTCCCCTAAAAGCTTCAAAAAACACCAAATCCAGCAAAGATTAGGCTTTAAATACATATGCATGATTTGGTTCTCTTCAGGTACTCCCATCTCAAATTAACACATATTGTCTCTATTTCGCTGCATAACTGAGAATGCACAGTGTAAGTTAAGTGTGTGAGAATATTATGACACCCAATTTATGAAAACTTTCTATACAAAATCCTCTCACTTTCCCTGTAAGCTTCAGCATCTCCGCCACCAAAATAAGCACCAAGGGTTGACTTCAAAGACAACCACTGTGTTTTTTCAGCCAAACACATTACTGATATTCTGTGGGATCAATGCATATCACTTAAAATATTAAAATTTTCATTAACTCCCCTGGATTAATGAACATTTTCATAAATAATATTACACTATAGTTCGATTATATGGGTATTAATGTTCTGATGAAAGAGCTTTTCATAGAACACCAAAATACATTACTCACCATATTAAAGTTACATTGCACACACACAAAAAAAATACTATTAATAAGTGTTTAGCCATTTGGTGTTGTGCTCCAAAGAAATATATAAGTAAGCTTCTAATATTGCAAAACGAAGCCACGCAACTAGCCCTTTGCTGTAAATCATGAACCAGCATAACTGTACGCATTAAACTCCCTCTTAGTTATCAGTTGAGAAAAGATTATTTTGAAAAGTTTCTCTTTTTTTTTTTTTTTTTTTAAGATGAAGCAGAAGCCCTGGTATTCTAAAATAATCTGTTAATGAAAGGCAGTTACAATTACTCTAAAAGGCAACAAGCAACTGACCACATAATTGTTCCAGCAGCGCAAACCTGTGCCTTGTTATATGGAGCTGCTGATCAGTGGAACAGGCCGCCTGCAGTTGCATAAAAGGGCCCACGATGTCAGTCAGATGTTTTAAAGTCATTCTGAAATTCTTTTTTAGAACTTTTTCTTGGAAAAAAAATAAATAATAATAATTTATCATTTATTGTTGTCTTAATCTTCACTTCAACTATATTTTAGTGTATACTTGTATATATTTTTTAAAATACTGATGTATGTAATGATGTATTTATTGTGATGATGGACCCCAACGTCGGAACAGCTTAGCTCTCGGAGGTTCTGAGTTCAAGTCCACAGACTGCCTCTCTGGGTCCCTGAGCAAGACCCTTAATCCAATGCTGCTTCCCAGGGGGATGGGTTAAATACAGAGAGATCATTTCATTGCTCTGTACTTGTGACAATGTAATGACAATAAAGTTTAATTATATTCTATGAATAATTGCTATCAAGTTCTGCATCCAAATATCAAACAAATTATATAAAAAAAATAATAAAAAATTTTAAGCAGCTAACAACCCAAATTAAATCAAATTATCCACTGTAAAACACCTTTGACAATCTACCCCAGCCATTATAAAATTACTACCGGTACAACAAATCTCTAAAGGAAATATTGTACCAAAAGCTTCTTTTTCTTTTTAAATAAAAAATTTATAAATATTCTTTTCACATTAAACAAAATATTTAATCTACAGCAAGTTTAATCCTCACTATTAAGCTCTGTTTTCAGCTCCCGCCTCGTGTTTCTTAGCAGGAAGAAGTTCTTTTCATAGAGAGGTGACTCATCTTTATATAAACAATCTTTGGGAGGGGTTGCCCAGCAAGCACGTGGTAAAAAGGGCGGAATCTGCATGCCTTTAATACGTAGAGGGCGTGGTTTGTTGATAGCGCGTCACGGACAGAGATATAAAGTCTGAGAGGAACGAGAGTTTGTTTCTTGCTTTACTTTTTAAAATAAAACCGATCCTAAATAAATAAAAAATATGCGGCGATGCCAATAGGATCAAAGTGTAAATGTTTAAGCGCAGCCTGACTGAAGAGGACAGATGAACGTAAAGCAGACATCTGATCCCTTCTGGTCGCTGTCAGGTCATAGTAGAAAAAAGGAGCCTGGTTATTCCCAGCGCCACCGCCCTTAACACCCTCCCACCTCTACGTTCTGGCTGTTGAATTATAAATTAAAATGTTTTATTTAACTGTTCTTTTTACGGTACGAGCACGTAACCCTTACAACTCTTGAGGTAAAAGCAGAAATCATCTGAGAACTTTACAGTAATAAGTGCGCAGCAGGTTTCGATGCACCAACACTGATGCTCACTGCGGTAAAAGGTAAAATTAAATTTACCCCTCACGGATCAAATAAACCAGCTACAATTGAAGGCGTCTGCAGGCAAACACAAATACGAAAGTAAAAGTGCTAGTTGACATTTCGCAGATTACCCACTTCTGGTATTACGGTTAAGATTAGAAACCGCAGGAATGGCTTCTTGAGCTGTCGGGAAATGATAAAGATTCAAATATCGACCTTTTTGTTGCCTATCGATCAATAAGTGTAAGAAAGATGCATCGGGAAATAGATCCGACTTCTTATTACGGATAAAAAAACAAACTTACCACGTGCTTTCTGTTGTTGCTGGGCTTGTAATTCCAAAAACTTGGCAGCTTCTAGTAGCGTTTCGATGCTCATTTCTGTGTAATGGCAAATAAAAAATAAAAATAGTGCCTGGGAATTATATTAAAGAAAAAGCACCACTGCGAACTCGGCTGTGTACCACAGTGCGGGAAGAGGTTCCCAGACTGACGCTGGGGGAGGAAAACAAACTGAAAAAATGAAGTAATCGGATCCTCCTCCTCCTCCTCTGCAGGAACTCAGTCATTTACGAAGGGGAGTTACAAACAAGATGGCGCCCAAAGTAGTACGAACAAATACGGTGTGAATCACGCAGCGGTATGGCAAGCTAGTTTAACATAAATTCGGTTGTACCGCCTTTACATTCATGCTATCTCAAATTGTGACTAGATGTTTTAGCGATTTAAGATATCTGTAATTATAGTTTGACTTGTCGAACCGACGTCAGATTTACCGTTAACTTGTATGGAGACGTCAATTTAAGATATCCAGAATTAATTACTGACTATTTGAAATACACATTATAGATATCTACCATTAAAATACGACAAGTCATTTCAAGATATCGCGATTTTAGTTTTGACTAGTTATAATTCTTTAAAGTAAATATATCTCAAATGCCACCATAATTCAAGATATCTTAAAAGTATTTTAGGATAGGAGATATGCAGTTTTGACTAATGAAAACTAAATTATAGATATCTTAAAAGCAAATAAGTAGACAAAACAAATTTAAAGATATATTGAATGGTAAATTCGACTAGTAAAAAATCCTTTTAAGATATCTCTAAATGAATTTAAGATATTTTGAATTATTCAGCTTTAAATTGACATTCTGACTAGTCAAAATTACATAAAAGAGGCTTACACGCAATCTCTTACTTCAGATATCTAAAATTGTAATACTGACTAGTCATAATTACGTTCGAGATATCTTATATTACAATTACCGATGTGTGACGCTTTAAATGACGAATCCGGTGACGTAATTTGAGATATCTTGAAAGGAATTTTGACTAGTCTAAATGTAATTTAAGATATCTTGAATTATTATTCTTCCTAATCAGAATGTAAATACAGATATCTTAAATTACCATTCTGGATAGTCAAAATGTGGTTTTGTCTAGTCAAAATGTATTTTAAGATATCAGAAATATAATTATGGAGTGTCATGGTAATATTTTGTAAAATAGATTATTGTATTGTATTTTATTACATTCATTAAAATTTTATCATTACATGAAAAAATAAAGAAAATGTTACAACTGTAAATTTACAGTCATATGTTTATATTACTGATATGTTCCAAACGAAATTTCTTTCTGTTTTACAATTGTGTAAACAAAATGACAAATGAAATCTAAGTCTTTAAATTCAGACGAAACCGAATTTATGTTAAAACGGCTTGCCATACAGGGTTGGAAACGCCCACAGACACGTAGCCGTCGCCACCACCCTCCGCGGGCTCAAGAGGAGGACAAAACACGGACCCAGACTCGGACTGATGGTCTTTTAACGCTCCACGTAGTGCATTTCTGACATGTTTAGAATGTTTTACTGCCATCAATGGCGTCCTCTGTCCGTCCATGGTGGAGGGACAATGAATAAGGAGTTTATTATTCTCCAATCATCTGCTTGACCTCCTTTAACGCCTGCAGTTGTCAAACCTCACGCGCCATCCTCGTGACCGGCGTGCTTTTGTTAGAAAAAATGTAAAAAAAAATCAAGACAAAAGTTTGCGTCGTAATCAGTTTCGTGTTGCCCAGCAACCGCTAACGTCGTCAATATGGCGACCAGACTTCCAAGTAATTTCTATCTGACGTGAATTCATTTTTCAAGCTCTTATCTGACACAAAATAGCAGCAAAAAGAATAAGAAAAAGTTATTTAATTTTATAAACTGATCAAATAAGTTATTAATGTGGTAAAAATATATGGAAGGACATTTTTTAGGTCTCCTGTCACTCTTGAAAAGACTTTCAGTATCTTAGTTTTATATTTTTGTTAAAATGAAAGGTTATTTTAGTCTGAAAAAAGTAAATTACAAAACCGTACTTGTAAAAGATTGCAATTTATACATTGCTACTGGGTATATAGCTAGTGCAAGGAAATATTCAAATTACTTTGATATATTTCTTGCAAATAAGTAATCCAATACTCAAAACACACAATTAAATAGTGATTAAAATAAAAAAAAATATTTCAAATGTATCAATTTTTAATATGCAATCTTTTCTTTACCGCAATTCTGCAGGCATTGTTTTAGGAATAGAGAAACTTGTGTTTCCAGTTCATAGTTATCCATCTGTCTGGGGACCTTTAGGGAGTATTAAAAAAATTAAGGTTATAAAATAAAGCCCATAAGATTTGCATAATCTGTGTGTGTTTCTAAAATAAATTCAAATTTTAGCAGGCATTAAATAAATTAGATCATAGAGTATGTGTTAAAAGTAATTTTTAAAAAGAATTGCTGTGAATATTTGGCTTTACAAAACACCACAACATATACGTACTGATAGGAAAAAGTAATATTTAAAATTCTAATAATATTATGTTGTTAGTTTTACAGTAAAATTCTACTCCAACATTTTAATATCAAACTATGATTTAAAGGTGAAATAAAACTATTAATAAAATAAGAGTCTTAAGGTTTTTAATAGGTCACATATTTTAGGTTGTGGTTAAATTACAGGAAGCCTTAGGGAATATCACCTGATCGTTCCAAGGAAGTTGAATTCATTGATAAAACTAACCTTTAGGGAACTTTTTATGAAGTTTACATTCCCAACATTACCGATCGTCTTCAATGTTTAAGAAATATTAACTCTTCACTTTCTGACAAGACAAATTAAAGAAAATTCCTGTCCAGAGGATGATCACACATTTTCAGCATCTAGGAAACATTCTCTAAAGGTTATGGAATGTTTAGGGAACATTAGAGTTTTGTAAAGTTATCACCAAATAGTGATATATTCATTAAAGTCCTTCTAGAAAATGCAGGAAACCATTGCACTTCGGGGTAATGTTTCAATTCAAAGGGAAGTTGTTGTTTTTTTTGTTTTTTTTTTATAAAAACAAAATTATGATACAATTAAGAAATTGTTTTAGCTCATATGATTGAAGCATTGACCAATCAGGCTCGTTTCCACTTGTGTTATCTGTAAAGCAAATGTCCTAAAGCAAATTTTTAGGAAAAACACATCAATAAGTTAAGCTGTTAACCTTCTAAACCTTAGCCTGGAGACAAAATAAAAGAGCAAACACAGTTGGTTTCATTTAACCCCCTCCAACCACATACACACGGATCGGTCGAGTCAAAGTCCAGCCAGACCGAGGCACATGTTGTACGGTCAGGAAGTACTCTGTCTTTTTTTACTACAGGGATCGTGCATGCACTAGCTGTGGATGTTTATAGCCTTTTTCCTGTTATTGACTGGGCTCTAATACGGATGCATGTCAGCGACGGCAAAAGTAATAATAGTTGGTTTTCCAAGTACAGGAATTACTCCGAGACGCCAGGAAATTCCTTAAAAAGGAACATAACTAAAAACGTCCAACAATGACATTTCAAAATCTGGTCAATTTAACAGGAATCAGTGCTGAAAGAACAGGGCAAGGGAAACTTCTACGCCCTCTTGTGGTTACTTTAGTGTACTGCTCGATGAAAAAAAAACCAAAGCAGATATTTTATTTTAAAAAAACGACATTTATTCCTAAAGTTTGAACAGAGCTTTTATTTTAAGAGTAAAAATTACCTTAAAAGGTAACCTAACAAGAAAAAAAAGGAATATAAAATCTCAATCAACATGAACATTTTTTCAATTTTATAAAACTGTAGAAATGATTTCTAAATCAATACTTCACCGTTTTAAAACATGACCCCCTAACTAGCCCCAGTCTCCCTGAGCATCACACCTTCCCAACAGATTTTAAAAGAGTGTTTCTAAGGTACGTACGCAGCTGATTCATCAGGTCTTTGTTCTGACCTTCGACCCAGTGCATCTCAATCCCTACATCCCTTCCCTCTGGAATCACATTCAGCAGACACTTGAACAGAAAATGCTCGTTTCCACTGGGGGTCCCGGGCCGTCCGTTGTCACTGGTGGTTGCATCAGCAGGAGTTTTCTGGTCTATTTTCCGTCCTGGTTCTGCACAGAGGGAGGAACTCTTATCCACATCCTCATCCCCTGCATTTCCTGGTAATTCTTCCACTTCTTGTCCTCCAGCCGTGGTCACTGCTTCTGAACTCCACTCCTTTGAGGAAACCGTGGAGATGGGCTGGTTTTGGGTGGAAACTGAACCAGCGCCGGTTTGCACAGAGGTTCCGATACCGGGGGGCGCCCTGGGAAGCTCTCGGAGCTGACGGGTCTGTTCACGCCTCTTCTGGCGGCCGTGGATCCAGGTGTTTTCCACCGCAGTCAATAAGAGGCTCTTCTCCTGCTGTCCGCAGGGGACACGCTTATGCAGCACCTGCAGGAAGACAATGGGACCACCAATGAGACCACCAGACCAGAAGAGCAAGAGCATAATGAAACAATCTAAGTAAAGAAATGCAAAATACGACTAAGCAGCAACATAGGCGTCATAAACCGTCCTCTTTGGTAGAAGTTTATCAGCATCTGAAGCTTCATTTGACAATATTTGTCGACTACTTTGCAAATATTTCTGAGGTCATTTGCTTGTTCTCTTATCTTTTTAGCAGATCAGAGATAAACTGGTATATCCAATATTTCGGCTGATAGTTTTCTATTATCTGCACTGGGTGATATTTTGCATTTTGGTTAAAATTGAGATTTGTGTAACATTTTTCACTTCTAACATGTAAATGGAGTAGGAGAAAGCAATATCGACCTAAAACCTCGTCTCGCCCCCGAAAAAAAAAAAACCCAGCACATATTAGGATTTTGTTATATTCATGTCAAAATACCAGGTATCTGCATCTGTCTTATCCCTTTAGAAAGAAACACAACTTTGCAGCAAAAAAGGCAAAATCATGAGGTCAGATGTGGTCTGCAAGGTTTTGATGTACTTGAAGTACTTACCATGTCAATCTGTTCCTATACCTAACTTCTGTGCTCGCAATATCTACACTCAATTGCCTTAAAATAATTGCCTTATAAAGAAAAAGTAATAAATAATTTGAAAACTTAAGATAAAAAAAAAGTAAAAAGCCAATTCAATAAGTAATAAGCTAAATAAAAAATTAAAAAGAGAAGTTCCTGTATCAGCAGTAATGTTTAGTATCTCTTTCTCTGTTTTTCCACCAACTCCTTATAGAAGCAATAATTGGATCTTATTGAGCACATTAGTGTAAGTGACTGTTTTTGATGAATATATAACCTTGATTTTTTTTACGTTACAAAAGTAAAGTCTTGATTCGTCCTCCCATAACACTGTAGATTTCAAATGCTAAATTTCAAAGTATTTCAATGAGGGCCCTATAAGGTTTTAATAAAACTTCAACAATCAATCTTTATCTCAGACACTTAGACTATTTTTGGTTTAAACTTGTCTCATCCCCATATCAAGAACTCCCAGGCAGTTTTTATTGATGATATGTCGATCTTTTGTTCTTTTTGTACCAAATATACTTTTGTAACTGTGACCAGAAGATTATAAAGCACTTACATCAAACTGTAAGGATTTCTCCAACAATGTTTTTTTTTAGCCTAGATCACTGCTGTCAAAGTGGTTCTAAACAGAGCTGTGTGGCTGCTGGTCTTCTATCCAACCAAGCAGTAGCACACCAGACTCCAGTCATCCCAGCAAGTCATCAGGTTAACGTTGAGGGTTCAAGCGATAGTTTGTCCCAATCCTTCAGAGCGATCTTTGGTCCCGCCCCACAGATCCACACTTAAGCTAAGTGTGCATCAAAGCACCCTTCGGTGAAGTGAATTGCCCACAATTCCTTACTGTGACATGCTAAATATTAAAGCGGATTATTACACCCCTGTACTTTGTCGTTTGATTTTGATAAACATAAAATTCCCTGTAAATCATGTTCTCTAAACTGAAATTCAATCCATTACCCTTCACCACAAGCTCTGGTTTTATTGATCATTCAGAGGATAATTTGTGACAAGAAGCAAATTTTAGTTTCTGTTAAAGATATATTAGACGTTTATGGACCTGAATAAGCATAACCCTTAGATATAAAATATGCCAAACCATACCTCAGCCATTAAAGGTATAGAGGACGATCTTTTATTTCCGGCTCGATCATCTAAATAAGTGGTCCTCCTAATTGTCAATCATTCTGGTGATATGTTTACATAAGGCCGTCCTATGTGCTCGTCCCGTTATCTTTTTATGCGCATGCATACTTTCAGGCTTATATGTGTGGTGAGCTACGGTTTCAGACAGTCATTGAAGCTCACCTTTCTGACCATGGTTCTTTGAAAATGGCCGAGGGTCATAAGAGAAAAGTGTTGATGAAGTGTATGAGAAGAAAAGGAAGGCCTGAGAAGAGGTAGATATATCCCAGAATGCTTTGCACAGAGAACTCTCCTCACAAAACATTATGGGATTTGTTGACACAGCGGCCCACTGTCGCCATAGGCTTTCACCACCCGACAGCGTCGACTAATAATAAAGATGGCGCAGACACCGAGCAGTGGACCAATGGGAAAGTGATCATCTGTCTGAGCAGTAAGTTGACAAGTTCACTATATATTCCCCTTTAATGGGATGACTGGTGTGTGGTGCGTTACTGCTTGGTTGGAAAAAAAAAACCAGCAGCCCGTTCTGGAACCAGTTTGACAGGCCGGGTCTTGATGGACTGCGGTTCCACGCAACACACAACCAGGGTTGAATTTCCTGCAGCCCCTTCATGCTTTTTATCAGCTTCTTGACTGTTTCCTTCTTTTCACCCAACTGATAACGTTAGTACAAAGAAATCAGAAAGTTTTGTTTTTATTCTAATCCCTTGCCAACAGATTTGTTTTCAGTGGAATCAAGCAGGATATATGTAACTATCCACAATTAAGATGGAAAGTTTTGTATCTAACCTGTTTAAATGCTCAAAAAACTGAAAAAGTGTGCTCAGATTTAAAACCTAACTGTGTATATGTATTTATTTTACATAATGTGCATCCTGTGAGTGAACCGGTTCCAGACGAGCATTAAAGGGGTGTGGTGGTGTTGTGGTGAAGCTCACCCGCAGCTCAGTGAGAGTTTTCTCTATCAGAGCAGTGATGCTGTCCACAGAACTGCTGCAACTTCCAGCCGAAGCCTGGAGCTCCTTCACCCCTGCCTCTGGTAGCGTGAATGCCAGCGGTTTCTGAGCCTTCTCCAGTTTACGCTTCTTACTGGGAGGAGACTGGTAGACAAAAAAAAAAAGCAAGGCAATCACTAAAATCAGTCTGTAGAAGTGAAATCAGTCAACTTTTATTAGCTTCTGTACAGCTTAGACTAAAATACAGCATCAGAGGGATAGAAATGGTTTAGTCAGCGTTTGATCTCTCAACTGGTTCAGCTGCTACTTTCCAGTCTAACTCAGATCAAAATGGTCATTTATGATGCAGTGAACTATTTTTTTTCTCTAGATTCTCTTACATTAGTTTTAAATAATGTGAAGGGGAAACCCTTAACTATTGCTGTTGTATCTAAAATCTTTATTTAGATTATAGTGTTAAAAAAGCCAGCTGTGTTAACCGTTGAATTCAAAACATAGGGCTACAGCTACCAGCAGAGGGCAGTGTGTCTTCATTTTAAGATGTGTCACACCCTTATGGAAAATCTGGAAATCTCTGACATCAAACATGTTTTTAAAGGTGCAGTTTAATAGAAATCAAAGATAGAAATGTACCAGAGGTTATACCAACTGACTGGATGTCTGCAACAAATGTAAACTAGTGTGGTCTGTCTGCTGCTATGATTTATAAAAACATCCTTAGAAACTAAACTGAAAATGAGCTGTAAAAACAGGGAGAGATTCATAGCTCAATAAATGCATGTGTTCCCAATTTAGGATACTGAACAGTGGTGCCATGGGGGAGCACAGAGGCAGGGTGAGCTTTGCACCTGAACCTGCAGCACATCAAGCATCTTCTCTAGTCTAATCTCCTCTAATGTCAGGCTCTAATCGGGGGTGGGGGTCATTATCCAGGCATAACTGAGCAGAAAGGCTGTGCATCAGTGACATGAACGCTGCACTCATGAGTCACTGCGGTCGGGCTGAACGTGGTCGAGGGCGCGGGGGGGTGGGATCTGCAGCAGCAGAGACAGCATGGCCGACTGACCTAGAAACGGCGCGCGGAGGAGCGGACTGCGACCTTCACACTGCTGCACTGATCTGGAGACGAATCCCTGATCTGTTACTTTATGCCGTTTCCTTCAATTGATTTTTAAAAACCTTTATAAACACCCAGACATGATTTTTTTTTTATTTGTGCTTTATGTAAAATAATAAATTAAATTAAGTGATCTTTCCATCCGATTCTCATTTTGATTGATGGAGCCCTTGAATGAAAGGTTTCCTGCCTTGACTGCACCTCCTCTCCCTGTTAGTTGGACCTTTTCTCTCTGTCTTTTTGTTTTACAAGTCTCTCCTAACCTACAAGGTTTCTAAGATCCTGCATCTCATTGCAGAAGGGAAGCAAATCAATAAAATTCATCAAGCTGAACCTGTAGCCTGCATCCTTCACACAGGTTCTCTAACAAATACAAACACAGGTTTTAAAATCAAACCTGTTCCCCCAACACTTGAAGCCTGATCCGCATCTCTGTTATGGTTTTGTTGCTCATTCTCATTATTAGTTATCACCTCGGTGCTGGAGTGTTGAAGACGGCCCATGACCTACCTTTTTTTTTTTTTTTTTTTAAAGACCCCTTTTAAAACCTAAAACCTTTGTAATAACCGATTCCTTTAAGGTTTAATGATCTCAGCGTTCTAGCCCCAGATGCCAAACACACTCCTAGTAGGGAAACAAAGGCTCCACAGTCCCCCTTCAGGCAAACATTTTAGATCATGTTTGACCCAAAGGTCTGAGTGAGCTCTGCACCTTTCTGATTTGTCTTCTGGCCAAAGGCCTGCATGAACAACACAGAGCCTCGAGGCTTTCTGGGATAAACCCCAGCAGTCTTTCCTGTCTGAATCTTCTTTTCTTCCATGAACACATCCACCTCTTTTGTCTGTGAACAATAGGACTCCTTTGAGGAGAGTTTTTAATCCAGAGCATCTCCAGCCTCTCCAGAAAAAAAAACTGAGGAGACACCGGAGTCTTCTGTAAATATCTTATAATCATCCGTTTAAATCTAAACAGCTGATCTCGTTCACGGGTTTTCACGCTTTCAACTGAAATGAATGACGGTGCCTCAGATCAGATTAAATCCTGATTCTGTCGTCTGCTGACCAACTTTTCACTCCAATTAAAAACCTAATCTAAAGCTCAAAGCTGTGACCTCTGCTCTGCTGATCTTTCTTGCACCTGAGGTTTATTACATAGTGTTTTAAATCTGCTATATATTTATGGTAGTTGTGATAAACATGTATACCTCGAATATTAATTCTTTAAAAAATGTAATTATTTTATCAGAAAAAAGAAAACTAAATGCTTTATATTTTTCAGCAGACAGTCAAAGACCAGCTTCACAAACAAAGGCATGTTTATGGAAAGTTGAGTGGAAGGAAAACGTATAAAGAATAGAGAAAAGAGAAACTCACATCAGGAATGTATGGATGATTGTAACTAAGAAGATTAGTAATCTAGAGACCAGGCTAAAGAAAATAAACATCCTGCTACTAAATCAACCTGGGCTTCCTTTAACGCCTGAGCAGGACCATAGACCAAAGAAGGCTGCATTTGTTTTAGTAGTTCATGCAGTTTCTAAATACAAGTTTCAACTTTCTCAGAAATGTTTTGGTTTTTATTATTTCCATTTACCTACTGGCAGATTAATAAAAGAATGAAAGGTAGATTAACTTCTGAATGAAATTTAAATAAATGGGAATGCACCTGCAATACAGATGTGCTGCTTTTCTAGGCTAATTGGCTCCAGATGTCTTGCTGGATTTAGTGTGGGTAGTGATGGTAACTAGGAGGCTGTAGGGGTTAGTAGGATTGTTAATGGGTCACAGCTGTCACATCTGTCATGAATGAATATTTTAATGGTGACCAGAGAAACATGGCTGCAGAATGAAGAAGCAGAGCGTGTAAATAATCACACACGGAGAAACTCTGATCAAAACCACACATGTGCTTTAAGGGGGTAATGATGACAGCAAGCTCCTGAGAGTAAAACTATGCTGGATGGATGTGAGCCTGGAGCTGAAGTGGGGGCAGAAAAAATTAGGTTGATCATTCTGCTCGGTTGCTTTTCTGCCAGAAAGACCAAAACAGAAAGAGCTCCAGCCAAGAGTCTATTCCACTTAGCCATGTTTAATTCAGGGTTAGGTTGGGTAACAACCAGTTTCATTTTTCATCCCCTTCTTCCCGTTGCGATCATTTCTGACTGGCATCCTGTCCAGACGAGTCTGCGGCATGCTGTGTGCGCACAGCCCTGCCCTGGCAACTGTTGCCTGGCTACTGCTTGCTAGAAATGCCATAAACATCTCCCCGGAGGACAGGAGTTAAGTGCACATAATGGATCAGGGCTCAGGGGGAGGAAGAGAGGATCCAGATGGAAGAGAGAGAGGATGGAGCAGGACAGAGATGGCGCATCAATAAAAACAGAGGAATCAGTGGTGAATTTTATTGTCTCTCCTCGCCGAGCGCCGGATTACACACCTGCAGCAAAGAAGCTAATGAAAACAATCAGCTAGTTTCACAACAAGCTGTCTGAGATTCACTTCATGGATACAAACTACCTGTTTCTGCATTTCAATCCATATAAGTAGATGGTTTCATCCCTCTCTGCTATTATTTTGACCTAAAAAAATGAAAATTTGGAGTAAAACAATGGAGAAATTAGCTCTCTGCGTTTAACCCATCCCCTTTGAGGAGCAGTGGGCTGCCACTGTGTAGCACCCAGGGAGCAACTGGGGGTTTAGGGTCTTGCTCAGAGACCCTGAGTGGCAGTCAGAGTGGGTTTCAAACGCAAAACCTCAGGGCTGCCTACGCCATTTTTCATGAAAATTTGATTTTAGGCACAAAAATAAATGTGATAGAATGTGATATGTTCAAATCTTTCTTTCATAATATTATATTTTCAGGAAACAGGAAGTTACCGGGACAGCCACATCGTCATAGAAACTCCAGGCCAACGCCCACCGCATGGTCCGTCCCTGGCAGAACTCTGTGTGGGTCACTTTGGGCACCTGAGAAGGAAAACAACAATATTCTTTAGGACAAATTAAATGTATGCCTGACATGGGAAGATAAACAGTTTTTGTTCTTCATAAAATAACAGCAGAACGCTACTGATTTTAGGTAACACAATGGAAGAAATGATTTTTATGAATATGATTCTTATTAATTCATCTGATTTCTCAGTTGGCAAATTAATTGAGTGGGTAATTTGGCTGCAGTAGCTGCATGAGATGCTATCACTGCTGTAAGACCTTAGCACCTGAGAAACAAATAGGATGTTTGTATTTAAGGATGGCATCCAGATGGCTATAGAGGAAAGTGGATTCGCTCCCTTTGTTGATTTGGTCATAGGATTTTAATTGCCTTTCTGGAGGAAGACACAACAACAATCATTCAGCATTTTTATTTGATCTATAATCTCCAATGATTTCATGATTTTGTTTCTCAACCAATCCTAACAGTGATAAGTTGCTTTTATACTAATTCATCTTTTATGATAAAAAAGGAGCATAGATCAGGTTTCAGAATTTTTGCAGGTTTGGAGCTTTTACTCTCCACTGTCGCTACAAGCATGCTTAGTGTGAGGGATTGCATTTGAGTCAATGAGTCAATACAATCAACTGGTTTTCCTTAGTTAGAAAACTTTGAATCAATTTGACTGTAGGATCTGGTGAAGTGTAAAGTGCCTTGAGATTACATGTGTTGTGATTTGGTGCTATGAGCAAATAATGAGTAAAAAACTCTATCCGTGTCTCATCAGGCTAGAGACCAGCTCCAGTTCAAGTTCAAGTACATTCTAGAGACTCTACATGTTTACGTTTGTGATGGTAGGAAAGAAAAGCCTTTCTCTTGACATGCCTCACATAGAGATCCTGTTTAATGGTTATATGGAGACATCTGTCCCACACTATGCTGATTTTTAAATTCTCCACCTATATTTTCTGGGGCGGTACGATAAATGTTCCTCAGTGGCTAACAGAAAGAGGTCTGTCATACATTAGTTTTATATAAATATCCATCAGTCAGAAGAAAGGGGAAAATTGCTACATGTGTTAAAAGACAAAATAAAACTAAATGTAAAACACCAAAACAAAACAAGGTTTAGATTCGTTAATGGGTGATAAAAGCTGTGGCATGTTAACTAGAGACGAGTTAGAAGTGCTGTAAACCAAAAGCATCAGTCTCCTCCCAGGACATCCGCCAAACCTCCACTCCTTCTGATGAGCTGCTAACAGCAGACTCAGATCTCTGGTTGAGAAGAGGCTGGTGCAGATGGTGGGGTGGGAGGGGGTCTTTCTTTATCTTTCACATGAGCTCATTTCTGGTTTAGTGGCACATTAGAAAAGTCTAATGAAGCTCCTTGCATCGTAGCACGAGAGGAGTATTTATTGGGAGAATATGCAGGCAACATTTAAACCTGCAGGTATGACCCGTCTGCGTAGTTCCTGTATGAACAAACCGAGATCATAGAGTTTACCAGGGCTTCTCTTTGTTCTGGGTCCCAGCAGGTACTCACCCCTTGCTTCCTCAGCTCCTCCTTCAAAGGTGCCAGGCTGCATTTCTTCCCCAACATACAACTGTACCACCTGCAGAAAGAGAAATCAACATCAACCAGCTTTTGGTGTGTATGTGTCCGTTAGCAGACTTCAACTACAAAGCAAGAGATCAAACAAACAGAAGCAGGCTTCAGGGAGCAAAACAAAGGCAAAGAAAAAAAAACATGAGACAGGAAAACATCCAGGTTCTCTTGGTCCCGCGGCGCAAAGAAAAATGGTTTTGAAGTGTTTTTGAGGTGGAGGCCTAATCGATAATCACCACTGTGCAATAAAGACATGAGTTTGGTGGTGATCAATGAGAAGCAGAGTCCAACAGGGAGGACGGAGGGAAGATAAGCACATTAGGAAGCACCCGTCTGGAAACGTGGCTGGGGATGCTGCTTCCTCCTAAAGAGTACCGTAGTTTAAACATCTTCTGTGATGGATGGAGGCTGCATTGGAGCACATCTGGAGGCGATCTCAGCGTTCACCTGCTGGCTAAGATCCAGGCTCTCTTGATTTAAAATTCCTTTCTGCTATAAATTTGATATTAACCCAGAACATTCGACTGAAAAACCTAAATAATTAAATAATTATCCATTTCTTTCCTTGAGCATCCAGTCCTCTCATCTTAACGTGTCAGTATTTAGCTACTTAACCTTAAAAGCTTCTCCTGATGAATAAGACCATGATGACCTCTGCTGACCTTATTGAGTTCAGGGCACCAACTAAAAATAATTGCATAAGTTGCATTTTCTCCCACTGAAGCCATTTCTTTTTATTTTATGTTATTCATATGGAATGATGCTCTAATCATCATCACTATATTTCTAGCAGACTCCTGGAGGTTTATCATTTGGAATAAATTATACAGTATTTTCCTTCACCCTGGCAAAGCAATGCCTTTACTAGAACAGAAAAATAAGTTAACATTTGACAGTCGTTTCAAGTTCTAATAGTAATATCCACCTGTATAATAATATAAATTTAGTTCATAACACTAGTGATCTATATATTATATTCATTATTTATAATAGTATTCATCTCTATACTCATTCAGTAGAAACCCATGTCCTGTATTTATGGAACCATTATTTATCCTGCACTTGCTGCTATTGCACTTCTGGTTAGACCTGAACTACATTTCCTTGCCTTGTACCTGTACCTGTGTAATGACAATAAAGTTTAATATAATCTAATCTAATAGCTGTTAGCATGCCTAGCAGCAGTAGCTACTATCAACAGTTTTTGTTTTGAATTATAAAGATTTCCTGTGTTAACCTGAAAAAAAAATTTTCTTTACACCAAATTTGTAATTTTATTTTGATTTTCCTCATCTGTATGTAAATGTTTCTATACCAGGGTTTCATTGTTCTCATGACTTTAAAAGTTTGCTTGTCCAGAGTCTATTATCACAGCACTTTGTTTCTGATGTGTAAAGGCGTTTATTTCTACTAGCATGAATGATACCTGTAGTGCACTCTTCCTTTCTGAGGAGTTGGTAAACACACTTTCAGCATATCATCTAAATCATGTAAAGAGCCGGAGGGAGAAAGTCAGTGTCTTATTCTTTTTAAATGTAATGCAACCTTTGCAATTTGAAAAATGCTTTTTGTTCAACTGAGATCATTTTGTGAATGAAATGAATAGCCTGGATTCAGTGCGTTCACTGATCTATAAAAGATTGGACTTTAGAAGTTATCAACTGGCCAATCACAAGTCAGCGCTGATGAAGCTGAAAACTGAACGATTCTGATCAACATCATTTTTCTTGGCTCATTTTATAATTTTCTAAGTTATAACCATCTGTCCCGATGCTTTAAGTTATCCCTTATGTTTGCACAGAGCAATAATGAAATATTGATAGGCTCTAATATTAACAGATGCTCCTGCTTAGACGGAAATCTCCTGTTCAGGAATGAAAGGCTTTCAGTTCATATCAAGAGAGGATCCAGATGGATATATCATATCAATACCACTATGAATCAGGAGCATCACTAGTTTGGAGCTTCTGTCTGACGGTAATTACCCCTGTAGAAGGGGAAGTAGGGTGGTGGAGTGTCTCTCTGGACCTTTTCTGAAAGCTGGCACCGTTTCCATGGACACCTGGTAGCTGTGGTATCCCAGCATGCCGCTGGGAGTGACAGCCGGCTCTGCTTGGTTCGTCTGGAGCCTCAGACCTGTTAAACAAATCTGGATTCGCTCCGACTGCCTCTCCTGTATTCATGATTTGGTAACACAGAGCCGCATAAGAGCAGGCAGGTGTTACCATCAGTGCCCCTCCACTGAAGCATCCTGAGTGAGAACACACACACACACAAACACACACACACACACACTCCTCATGGGTTGTAGGGCCAGAGCAGGTGTGCTTTGTCTAATCAGCTTTAATAGCTCCACTCTGCCGGGGTCTCACTCCGCTGCTCAGGTGACAGCCCGGCTAACGGGGGAGGCTGAAGTGATGGCCGCCACCCAAACACAGCTGCTCTCCTGAGGGCGCCTGAACCATTACAGTAAGTGAGAGCGACACCGACATCAGAGATCCATCTGCCCATTTCCCCTCTTAAACTCATCCCATGAAAACTGCAGCACACTTCAACATCCATCCCATAATTAGGATGTTTAGATAAACCTTCCCCCTAGATACAAAGATAAGGACTTCATCTGCTCCTCACCGCAGCCTTTTCTTCAGCTGCAGGCTGTCATGAATGATCCTCTTGACGAACTCCAGCTCGCCGCCTTCTGCCATGATCTCCGTCACCCCGCCCGTGTTCACCGAACTGGGAGGAGGTCTTCGTGAGTTTCTGGAGTTCACCCCCTGCAGAGACCGCAACAAGGCAGACAGAGATTAGGAAGAAATCCTATTAGAGGCTTATCAGCATCTTATAAACAAACAGTACTTCATGCCGGAGTCAAACTGAACCAGAACCAGCAGGTAGAACCAGAACTGGAAGATGCAGACGGCGTAAAAACAATGTTGCACCCCCTGACACCGATACCCTTAAAACAAACCCCGTACATGCAGATGCATCTCAATAAATCACTGAAATGGTGATTTTATTCAGTGACAGAATTTAAATTGGACAAAAGATTAAAAAAAGAGTTTCTACAGCAATCAATTTAAAATCTTTTTTTTAAGCATCAAATCAGCCCCATAAAACATTAAATTCAGAAATATGCTTGAAGTTATAAAGAATTAACATTTATGAACCACCGCTGTAGTGCGGCATGGCTGCGATCAGCTGAGGAGTTCAGCAGGACCTGCTTGATGCGATTTCAGTCTTCCTCTCCTCCATATTGTTTGGTCTAATGTTTCTCATTTTGCTTAGAATAAAACTCCAACGTTTCTTAGCAGGGGTCAGATGAGGTCACTTGGGGAGCTTTAAAAGGGTAATGACGTCATATGACACTTTATAGCTCACTAGGGTTGTGTAAATGTTTTTGTTTCAAAGATCACTGTATTACTGGTTATTTTTGTATTTTATCCTCTATTTTGCTTTTTTTTTTTTTTTTTTTAAAGTCCCTTTGTGTATATTTATAATAACAGAAATGACTGGAGGTACAATAGTGTGAAATGTGAAAGGGGTCAACAAGTAAACAATTTGTTTAAAACCAGTTAGCACCTCCTAGCCAAGTTATAAAAATAATGAACAAAAGTCAAAGATCCAGCTTGAATTAAAAAAAGAAAACCCATCGAGTCTCTGATCACTTGTTTTTTTCAAACTTTTTCCTTCCAATGAACTTTCCATCAATGTGTTTGATAGAGGACCCTATGAACTGCTAGCTTTCTTTGCAAAGTATTTATGCGAGTCTTCCTGTGTGTGTATATATATATATATATATATATATATATATATATA